TGAGTAGGCTGGGGCAGTGGAAGTGGGAATGGAAAGGCAAACATAAGGGCTATTTCAACGTGGGAATCAATAATGCATATGCACTCTCTCCTGTGCACTCTCTATTCTAGCCATCCCCTGACAGACGTTTCTCTACCAGCCGCAGGCTCTATCACGACACCAATTTAATACAGAAAAAATGTGAAGAAACTATGAACCAAAATAAAAAAGAATTATTTCTTTGTTCTCTGGAAAGCCCAGCAGTGGTATATAAATATCCCATGGTCTCAAAGTTCTCCTTTCTCTTTTCTTTATTTGTTTTCCCTACCCAAAATGCCACTTTGTTTCTTTGTTTTTTTTTTTTTCCAGACAGCTCTGGTTTGGCAAAATTTAATTGCCTGTTCAGGATGAGGTCCCCGAAGCTCTTGGAAGGTAATTATTTCTTCCTGGTGAAGATCGGAAACTTTGAACTCTACTCGTGAGATAAATGTCCTGGTAGCGCTTTAGAAGTTCAACTTATTTAAGTTACCAAGCAGCTCATCAACTTATTCCCTGCATTTGGAATTGAATCTGGAAGAGAACTGGACTCCAGACATCATGAGTAGGTCGAGGATGTGGGATTTATAGATTTAGTTCAGAGCAAAACATGCTCCCAGAGATAGAGCTCTGGTGACAACTTCCAGATAAACATATAGATGGATAGATTTGAGCCTAGTTGGGGAGCAGAGGAGATGTGGCACAATTTCTACAAACCAAATTGCTCAAGGAAAGGAAGGTTCTGGTTAGCTAAATGTTCTGGATAAGTGAAGGGTAATCAAGAGGCTTTTTTGGTTTCAACTGCAATAAAATGCTTTTTGAAATGCTTTAGTTCATTTTCCAGCGTTAGCAGTTACAGTGACTGCCATTAGATCTTTTTGCTGACCGAGAGATGCACAGAGCCTTGGAGGCATCGAGTTGTACGTTTTCACTTTCCAGTACTGACATGAGGAGGTGGAGAAAGAGTAGGAAACTGGGTAGGGTATGTACAGAGCCCAGAACATCCCCTGGAAGCCATCCAATTTAGTTTAAAGCCCTGGGAGCAGCAAGCTTATTATCACTTACCTCTTTTTAAAGAAAGTGACAACTTGGTTTAGTTAGATTTCAGTTCATGGAGATAATAGATAAATATTGCCAAGAGGCAAAATATGTCTGAACTAGCAGACTGCAAATTGAAATAACCTAAGGGTCTTCATGAAAAGCATTAAAATGACTTTAATACTCCATATGCTATAACGTTTTTTAGGGGAGACTGAATATGGATGTATGTGGGTCGAATGTCAGTGAAAGAAATAGATGCCTAAGAAATTAACTAATTTAATTAGATATCCTTACCAAGGGCTACAGACCAAATGGTTTGGCAATTGAGATTTGCCCTAACCTAAAAGAATCCTCTTTCATTGTAGATTTCCAGGCATTTGGGAGTTTGAGCAAAGCTGGGAAGGCGTTTAAAATCTTGTCAGGAGAGTCTACAGTGAGATAGTCATAGTTCCAAACGTGACAACTCTTGGAGAATTGTTCTTTTGGGCAGTCTCATTCTGCTCCATCTACTGGTATTTGAGAAGGATCTCCAAAGGTGAGTACATAACAGGACTGTGCTCTAATTTCTTTCCTTTTCTCCCTTTCTTGGGTCTCTAACCATCTCTCTGTCATGGGTGATCCCCAGAAAGGCATGGGGCAGCCATTAGTTGAGAGGGAGGCTGTATAAATAACAGCAGGTGACAGGACTAAGATGGGAAACAGGCTGGACCCAGTTTACCAGGAATCATGTAATGGTAATTCTAGGATGGGTCAGTCAGCAATCTTTGGAGGGCAGGACCCAGACTAAATGAAAAATAGCCTCCTTAATTTAGATGCTGAGTAGCCTTTAAGTGTGAGAGGGAACTGATCATCAATTTTAGTTCCACAGGTCCAAATATAGTACTAATGGAGCCACGGTCGTGGGCTCAATACTCATCTCTATCAGTAAGTTTAACACCATTTTAAAAAGTCTATCCCACAGCCATAGATTTATCACCAAATTTTAGTCAAAGAGCTCACTGATTTATTCTACTGGACTCGTAAGGGACTGAGAGATGGACTTTCTATAAACTCTCCATCAATATTGGAGAAACAAAATACATCTGTGGCTTGTTAGGAATGATAGCTTCACACGAGGAAAGAAAACATCTATTAATCAATATTTAATATTTAAAAAAAAATCAGTACGTTTTATAGAGTTCTAAGAGCAACAGAGATCTTTAAATGGCACAATGATCAGCTATCTCTATGCAGAACCTGTTCATCCTCCCAACTGCAGTCTAACCATCATCTTTCCAGATATTCCACTGTGAATGGCCAATGTGTAGATAATTGAGAAGTAAATATAGACCATTCAGAAATTTTTAAGGTATGACTATACTAAACTTAAAATTTAAGACTTCAGAGCATTTTTTCATATAGCCATTTGACTCTCACCTTTGTACATTTTCCTTCTGTAGAGATTATTATCTCAATTTTCACTTGGAAAGGTGAAGTTACCCCAAGGCAAAACCTCTTTCTCAGGTTCCCATGATAAGTGAAGGCAAAATCACCATTAGGTATCTCAAGCTCTGAGGACAGCCTGTGAAGGCAAGTCACCATCCCCTCCATCCCTTACATTTATTTGCCACTCCACAAGTGGCATACACTTCCATATTCATGGGTTTACTGTCTTTGTGTAGTTAGCCTGTCTGAGAGGTCGATCAAGTTAAAGAATAAGACACGAGGATAGGTTATTTGGTGACCAGAACAGGGAAGGGGTAGTTACGGAATCTTCTTTGCTAAAGACTTTTAAAGACCAAGTGAGTCTCCCATCTCAGAGATGGTTAGAGAATCCCTATCCCTTGGCAAAACCCCATTTCTAGCCCACATGCCTCTCCAACAAATGAGATGTGGTGAGTGTTACAATTTTTGTTTTCGTTTTAGCTGAAGTAAATCAGAGAATCCTGGGATATTAGCACTAGAAGGTCTCTTGGAAATCACTTATTTTAACTAATTTGAAAATGAACATTTAGGTCACATGAGGGGAAAAAACTTGTTCAAAGACACCTAGCCAGTGAGTAGCAGAAGTTTCAGGGAGGGGATTACAAAGACAGGGGAGAGTGAGTCTCAATAAGGAGCACATACACATTAAGGGATGCTTGGCATATAACCATCAATGTCAAGGGAAGAGACAGACGGAAAAAAGAGAGGCTGTCTTTGAATAAGGAATAGCTAGAGAACTTCATTCACCTGTTCATTCAGGAAATACTGACTGAGCACCTCCCATGTGCCAGGCACTATTCTTGGTTTTCAGTATACAGCAATAAGCAAAACAGACAAAATTCCCTGCCCTTATTGAGCTTACATTGTAGTTGGGAGAGTTAATCAATAAACATAATTATTAATGAGCTACAAGGCTCATTACATACAACTCATACAGTGTCCTAGATAGTAATAATTCTAAGGAGAAAAATAAAGTAGAAAAGGGGGATATAAAATGTCAGAGGATAGAGATAAATTTTTAGACAGGGTGGCCCAGAATAGACTCATTGAGAAGGTGCTCTGTGAATAAAGATATGAGGGAGGCGAGAGAGTGAGTCATGCAAGGAACTGGGGGGAAAGTGTTGATGAACATGAAGCAGCAACATCAAAGTCTCTGAGGAAGAGGTATGCTTTGCATGTTTGAGAAACATTGAAGAGGCCAGTGTGACTGGAGCAGAGAGAGCCAGGGGAACGGTAGTAGGAACTGGGGTCAAAGAGGCAATGTGGAGGCGAAGCGTGTAGGGCCTTGTAGCTCATAATACGGAGATTGATGCTTAAAGAGGTTGAAATGGGAAGCTACTGAAATTTTTTTAATGAAAGAGTGACCTGATCTGACTTACAGTTTAGCTTAATCACTTGAACTGAATGGGGGCAAGGCCAGAAACACGGAAACCAATAAGGAAGTTACTGACAAAACCCAGGTGAGTAATGATGATGACTTGGAATAAGGGGTTATCAGTGCAGGTGGCAAGAGAGGTAGTTAGATTCTGAATTATATCCATGACTGCCTGGTACTTTCTATATTCAGTTATTTATTTTATATCTATTGAATTCGTGTGATGTCCCAGGCACTTTTCTAGGTGCTAGGGATATACCTGTAAACAAAACAGACAAGGTCCCCTTCCTCAATGAATTTACATTTGAATGAGAGACAAATAACAAACAAGCAATCAAATAGTTATTGTAATTTCATATATTGGAATAAGGAAAAGTAAGGTAGGGCGAGCAGTTAGAGAGTGGTGAGGATGGGAAGAGAGAGCCTTATCAGGTAGGCTTGTCACTGACATTCTCTCCTTACCACCCTCACTTTTAGAAACATATTAGATTTTCACACTCCTAACTGAGGTTTAGCAATCACAGCACAAAAACCACAGGAGAAGTTGAAAATGTAATTTCAACAGGGAATATTAGTAGAGGCCTCCCACAGATCACAAGGACTCCATGAACTACTCTATTTATGTAATATTAGTTCAGATCAAGAGGTACCTTTGCACCTACTGTGGTAGGTCCTGGCACTATGGGAAAATGGAGGCAAGTACAAAGAAGACAGAAAAAGGGCAATATTTTAGCTACATCATCTCATCTGCCAGAAGGTATCCTCTTGATGGAGATCAGTAACTCAAGCTGACTGATGCTCACCTGTGTCAATGCATCAGGTTTGCCTTGGAAAATGCAGAACAAGTGAGAGAGCTAGGAAGATGGCCTCCCTTTCCTCTCTTCTTAGTTGGGAAAAATTATTCAAGAAGGCATCTGGTGGAGGAGAACTGGAGAACTTTTTACATAACTATTTTCAAATGAGTGGGAAACTAACTTTTTTCTTGGGGGGGGGGTGCAGATTTTTAGCTTTGCCTCTGTTCCCATTATAGATATTCCATTTATGTTCGGTGTCTTTTGAAAAGGCCAAAGATAATGATCTCGGACACCCAAATTCTTTTCACCTTTGTCATGTCCTCCATCTTTATTCTCATTCTTTCAGGTAAAACTAGGCAGCTGCATTGGCACCCATCCAATGAGTAGTGACAAGTGAGAAGGATGGCCATGGACAATGCCACAGCAGTGATTGAGTTTCTCCTTATTGGCATTTCTAACTATCCTGAATGGAGAGTCACGTTTTTCACACTGGTGCTGATAACTTACCTCAGCACCTTGTTGGGAAATGGACTTATCATCTTTCTTATCTACTTTGACCCCCACCTCCACACTCCAATGTATTTCTTCCTTAGTAACTTATCTTTCTTAGACCTTTGCTATGGAACAGCCTCCATGCCCCAAGCCTTGGTGCACTGTTTCTCTACCCATCCCTACCTCTCTTACTCACGATGTTTGACCCAAACGAGTGTCTCTTTGGTCTTGGCCACAGCGGAGTGTCTCCTACTGGCTGTGATGGCCTATGACCGCATGGTTGCTATCAGTAATCCCCTGCGCTATTCTGTGGTCATGAATGGTCCAGTGTGTGCCCGGCTGGCTGCTACCTCGTGGGGGGCATCACTTGTGCTCACTGCCATGCTCATCTTATCCTTGAAGCTTCGCTTCTGTGGGGCTAATGTCATCAACCATTTTGTCTGTGAGGTTCTCTCCCTCCTTAAGCTGGCCTGTTCTGATACCAGCCTCAACGAGCTTATGATCCTCATCACTGGTATCTTCACCCTGCTTCTACCCTTTGGGTTTGTTCTCCTCTCCTATGTTCGAATTACTACTGCTGTCCTGAGGATTCGCTCAGCCCAGGGTAGGTTCAAAGTCTTTTCCACCTGCGGGTCTCACCTGACTGTGGTGACGATCTTCTATGGGGCAGCCATCTCCATGTATATGAAACCTCCTTCCAAGTCCTCCCCAGACCAGGACAAGTTTATCTCTGTGTTCTATGGGACTTTGACACCCATGTTGAACCCCTTGATATACAGCCTGAGGAACAAGGATGTTAAAAGGGCAATGAAGAAAGTTATGGCAAAAAGGGCATAGACCTCCTTTGCTTCTAAACTTCTAAAATATCACTCAGCTACATCTTCATCACGGTGAAAATTGTTTAAAGGGGCCGACTTTACCCTTGGAAGAGTAGGTGATTGTCATATGAGAAGCCTCAGGAAGTTTCCCCACCCCAAAATGTTATCCCTACTGAGACCTGAATTTCCACTGTTGTTGTTAGGTGCCATCAAGTCTCTATGAGACCCTATGTACAACAGAACAAAACACTGCCCCGTCCTGTGCCATCCTCACAATCGTTGCTATGCTTGAGCCCATTGTTGCAGCCACTGTGTCAATCCATCTCATTGAGGGTCTTCCTCTTTTTAGCTGACCCTCTACTTTACCAAGCATGATGTCTTCTCCAGGGACTGATCCCTCCTGATAACGTGTCCAAACTGTGTGAGATGTAGTTTCTCCATCCTTGCTTCTAAGGAGCATTCTGGTTGTACTTCTTCTAAGACAGATTTGTAATCCTTTTGGCAGTCTGTGGTATGTTCAATAATTTCCATTAGAGGTATTATTTTTGCTCTTTCTTTACATATTTTGCTCTTTCTTTACTTTACCTGAAGGTGATTAACCTTCAGGTAAATGAGCTTAACAGAATCATTTCCTCACTGACAGAAGGGACCTGAGCAGCAAGAGAACCTTCTATGACAATTGGCAGGAGGCAAGGCATAACTGAAATTGGAAAATAGAACAAAGAGTGGTGTAATAGAAGACCAGGAGACAAATGTCAGAAAGTTTGCGACTTTGCTGAGGGCAAGTCGTGTTGTGTAAGCATAATCTCCTTGCTTTACTTGACCTCAGATTTATGAGAAAATTGTATACGAGCCATTTCCTACATTTGTGTGGAAGATTTCTTTTTGATTTTCCAAAATTCTTTCTAATCTATTAGTTTCATACTCCTAATATATCTATGAAATTGATAAGGAAAACACCATAATCTCCTCTGTAATTAACAATGAGGAAATTGAGGTCCAGAGAAGGTGTAGAGACTTAAGTTTAAGGTCATACATAATTGGTAATGGAGTCAAAACTAGAATTCAGATCACTTATATGCCACCTCTGAACTTTTCCAACCAGGTCTAGAAAATTATTTGGCAACACAGAATTACAAGTGCAACTAACATTTATTGAACCCACCGCCACTGTCGTCGAGTTGATTCCGACTCATAACGACCCTATAGGACAAAGTAGAACTGCCCCGTAGAGTTTCCAAGGCTGTAAATCTTTATGGAAGCAACTTCCACATCTTCTTCTCATGGAGTGGCTGGTGGGTTCAAACCGCCAACCTTTTGCTTGATTACTAGTGGGGCTCTTTAACCACTGTGCCACCAGGACTCTCAACATTTATTGAGCACTTACTATATGCCAGGCACTGTATTAAGGTCTCTACATCCATTCTCTCAACTCTAGGAAGCAGTGCTACCATCATCCCCATATTTAAAAAAAAAAAAAAAAGCTGTTGCCATCGAGTGGATTCTGACTCATAGCATCCCTATATTAGAGATGCAGAAACTGAGACTCATAGAGGTCAAGTGATTTGCCCATGGCCACAGAGCCAGTAAAAAGCACAGCCAGTGTTTGAGTACAGGTCTGGTTGGTTCCATATACCACTCCCTTATCCAGTCCCTTATACTGCACCCAAGCTATAATGGACCTTGGAGATGATTTCATGAGATGATTTTTCTTATCAACCTTATTGTGGTATAATTTGTGTACCATAAAGTGCATCCAATTATAGTATACAATTGGATGAGTTTAACAGATGTATATACCCATAGAATCACCATCACAGTCAAGATACAAAACAAGTCCGTCACCTCCAAAACTTTCCTTGTGCCGTTTTGTAATCCACCCCTCTCCACCCCCTGCCCCAGGCAACCACTGATCTGATTTCTGTCGCTATATATTAGTTTTCATTTTCTAGAATTTCCTATAAATGGAATCATATAGTATGTATTCTTTTATGTCTGGCTTCCCTCACTCAGCACGTTTTGAGATTTATCTATGTTGTTGTATCATTAGTTTGTTCCTTTTTAATTGCTGAAAATATATTCCACTATTTAAATTTGCCACATCTTTTGATCCACTTCCTGTATAATTGAGTGGTTTTTAAACTTTAGTTCATGTAGCCCTATGGGTTCTGTTACACTGCCTAGAGACTGCTAATGGGGGTAAAGTTTTCTGTGTACAATTTCATTTGAAAAGAAAGTTCTAAAAAGAAAAAGTTTTGGCAAAGAATGATCTACTCCAGATCTTTCGTTTTAGATAAGGAATCTGAGACTCAGTGAACACGTAGTAAATTTCCCAAGGTCATTAAATTAGCTTGAAACAGATCTAGACTAAGATCCAGATATCCTGTCTCCCAGTCTCACTTTACTTTGGGCAATCCTACCAAAAAAACAAAACCAAATCCATTGCCCTCAAGTGAATTCTGACTCATGGCAACACCACATGTGTCAGAGTAGAGCTTCACTTTGTAGGATTTTCAATAGCTGTAATCCTCCAGAAGTAAATCACTAGGACTTTCTTCCGTGGTACCATTGGGTGAATTTGAACCGCCAACCTTTCAGTTAGTAGTCAAGCTTTTGCATCACCCAGGGACCAGCAAGCCTATAAAACATGATGAAATCATCTCCAAAGCAGCTTGATGAGGAACAGAGACAAATGAACAGAAAAACTGTGATTCACAGCAGAAGTGGAGCCCTGGTGGCACAGTGGTTAAGAGCTCAGCTGCTAACAAAAGGCCAGCAGTTCGAATCCACCAGCCACTCCTGGGAAACCATGTGGGGCAGTTCTACTCTGCCCTATAGGGTCACTATGAGTCGAAATCAACTCGACAGCAAAGGGTTTGGTTTGGTTTGGTTTAGATGTGAGGTAGGCACTACTGAACAAGTGAATAGAGGCAGTGCATTACTCAAAATCTGACAGCTGTGGTTTGATGTAATGCTGTGTGATGCTGCAGAAGGAGTGCCAGGTATAGGACTGATTTGTCTCATATGTTTACTCGCTAAATGAAAAAATAAATTGAGGATGAATAAACCACTTATCAAGATAGCTTAATTTCAAAATAAATGCAACATTTATTCAAACTTCATATATTATACATTTTTAAAGGTATATGGCATTCTTACCCACTGAACCCATGTTTTAAAATCAAGAAAGAAAAAATTATTTAGTAAAAGGACAAGTGATTTCAATCTTTAATTTATTTTCAATAAATATTAAGTTTCTACTTTCAGCCAGGCACTGTGATAGGTGCTGGGTACTTGAAGGCAAGTTTCATATTTTGTGCCAAATGTTTCTTAAAGGGAAATAAATATACAGTGGTGAAATCAATAAAATTTTAGAGGAAAACAACAATACAGGATTCAGATTGAGAGAAATGAAGAGGAATGTTAAAAGCATTCATTTTAATGATACTGTTCAGGTGGGTTTACAGCTTAAAATGGGAACCAGATTTTCACTAATGGGACCCGGCCCCCACATGGGAGCTATGCCACTAGGTTCTTTATCTCTTTTATTAACTTGGTCCAGGCACTGCCTACAGACAGAGTGACACAGTGGAGTCTGGAGATGAGGACTGTGGAATTGATTTTGCTGCTAACTAGCTGTGTGACCTGAGTTATATCACTCTTTTGCCCTCAAATTTGTTCATCAATATAATAGGAAGGTTGTGTTTAGTTACCCGAAGACCTGTCTAACATTCTGAGTCTTGATGTTATTTTATATAAGTTTTCTCTCTTTTTTTTAAAAAAAAATGGAATCATATCATCAATTTACTCTGCAACTTGCTTTTCCACTTGACAATATATCGTGGACATTCCTGCAGATCAATATATAGAGATCTATCTGCCTGACTTTAAATGTTAGCTTTGGCTGAAAAAGTAGGTACCCACAGCAGCCAGTTAACATGACTATGGCCCTTCCAGCACTAACATTCTGTTTCTGTGTGTTTAAAATCCAAAGGCCATCTAATTCAACATTGATATTAATTCATTTTAAATATAAAAATGAACTCTATGAGGGGGTTGTGAAATGAAATCGATGCTGGATTGTTGGAAACTCCAAAGGTTGAATATTGCATCTCTGCTTGATCAATCATCAGCACCCACGTGAAGCATTCTACAGTGGATACCCCACATCCTAGGCATCTGGATGGTGAAGCTTACCTTGCTTTACCCTGGAAAGTACATAAAGACTGGTTTGAAACTCAGCTGGGTCTGTCAAAAACTGAGGAGGAAGTTTGAAAGCTGAAAAATAGGCCCCAAATAATATTTTTCATTGAAATAGTCAAAGGGATTTAAGGAAAAGACATATAGTGCACCATACATAGAATTTGGGTTTTTAGTTGAAGAGGGGCAGTGCAGCGTAACTGTTTAGAGCACAGGCTCTGGAGTCAGACTTCTTAGATTTAGCCCCTCACTCTGCTAGTTTTTCATTCAAGTTACTCATCTGTAAAGTGGGGCTGAAAATAGTACCTACCTGTAGCACTCATAGTCTGGACAGGAAGACAGAAACGTCTCTAGTTATTTCAGGCAGGAAGGGCTTTAATAAAGGGAATCAGGTGCTTACAAAGCCTTTGAAAGGGCTGTGAGAGGATAGGTAAGGAAACTTTGTCAATGATCTCAGGAAGCTGCAAGAATTCCAGGAATCTTGGGACGTTTATTGGTATCAGGAAACTGGCACCAATGCTCACTGAAGCAGGAGTTTCACAGGAGAATGCTCCAAAGCCACTTAAACCTTTGTCTGACAAAGCCCATACTCCTGAACACGATGTCACGAGGAGCAGTAAGGGCTTCTACTTCTCTTCTGCCTGCCAAGATTCTTGCAAGACTTCTCAGGGATAGAATTCAAACCCGAACCCGACTGGCAAGGGAGTGTGGGGAATGTAGTTTCCAAACTTCGCATAAAGCTGAGAGCTGAAAAGGGTGGGGATGATGTTGTCTATCAGCTGGTAGTTTGCTTATGAGAATTATATGAGTCGATTCATGTAAAGCACTTAGAACAGTATTGGCCTATAGTTGTTGTTGGGTGCCATAGAGTCAA